GCGTTTGCCTATTGATTACGGCTAATTTGACATCAAGATTTAATCTTTTTGAGATTTTTTGCTTGTTTGTTTGATATGTGAATTGGGAAGCTTCAAAGATCAAAACTTTTTTTTGTGGGGGTGGAGAGATTTGTTGGAAAGGAGTAGCTAACAGATTGAAGGAAAGAATTTGATTTGTAGCAGTGAAAGATATGGCAATTTGCAATTGCTTTTGTGGTCCAGTAGGGAGAAGAAGCAAGAAAGATAAGGTAGGTGTTTCAATTTTTAATACTGCCCTGCCTTTCTTTAGTTTGAACATGCATGTCAAAGTTCAGTAATTTTTTAGCTTATCTGTATGTTTTGTTGATTTAGGGGAGAAGGGAGCTCAAAAAACTACTGATGTGGCTGTACTAGTTGAAGGTTCTGTAAACTCTAGTGCTAAAACAGATGACTCCAAATTGTCTTCCTTTGTTGTTCCTTTACCTTTTGGGAGTTCTAGGAGCAATGTTAAGGTGATGAATCATGACAGTCCTGTTAAGGGAGATACAGAAGAGGTGGCTAATCATGAAAGTCCTGTTAAGGGAGATCTAGAAGAGGTGGCTTATGAAGGGGAAGATGAGCATGATGAAAGCTTGTCAATGAAAAGGGATAACTCTGATTTTGATCTTCAAGCACGTGTTCATAGCTCAGGGGGAGAATATGATCAATCATTCAATGAAGGAATTCGTCGTAATTGCTCATTTGAAAGTGAAATGAATGAACAGGATCATAACAAATCTGAGAAAGATGCAGAGGCTGTGGAGGTTGTGAAAAGTGGACACATTAGTGATCCGGGGTTTGGTAAAGTAGAATCTTGGGCTTCTCCGAAGCTGCAACGCTCTTGCTCCGATTTAGCAATGAGGGATATGGTTAATAAATTGAGTGAGCAGCTATCACTCTCTAAGTCCAAATCTTTTGATGAAATGCGGAGATTAGCTGAGAAAATGACTTTAGGAAGTCCGGCTTCTGTGTTGACGCATTGCAGTGCTGACAAAGTTATGTTGAAGAAACATTCTTCAAGCCAACTCCTACCATCCAGAAACCGAAAATTGTGGTGGAAACTGTTCCTATGGAGCCATAGGAATGTACAAGGAACAGGTGGTATCCAACAACTACCAATCCTTGCTAATACTGCTCTAAACCAGCAGGGTGGGTATTCCTCGGACACACTAGAACTAGGGAAAGGCATGGACTTGAGCAACTTGGGATCTCCTGGTTCGTTCACAGCAGAATCCTTGAACAAAGGGCGGAATGACAAGGGCAAGGAGGTTTTGGATGAATTCCGAGGAGTAAGCGGATTTTGGCCACAGAACCAGTGGGTTGCTTTCCCTGAAGAATCCTCTAGGTTTATGAGAATCAGTGAATGGGTGAATGAACTTCCCAGTCATCCACCATGCTTAATTGATGAACATGATCATGTTGAAGATGAGGTTAATATCTCGCCTTCGCCCGATGCTGGTAAATCACCTCTCATCAGCCCATATCCAAATATGAATGTCCCAGAAGAGGTTGCACATGCTAATACAGTCATCCGATCTCTCAATTCTTCCTCAACGGTTGCTCACATCGCGGGCGCTGGTCTGAAAGTTATCCCTGCTATATCACACTTATGTAGCCTTCGATCTGTCAATTTATCAGGCAACTTTATAGGTATGTAATCGAAGGACAACTAGTACTAAACTAATTTAGACTAAAGGAAATGGTCATAGAAAGCCCCATTAACATAATTTATGTTTCCTTGGACAATGCAGTTCAAATAACTCCGGGATCACTACCAAAGGGTCTTCATGTTCTCAATTTATCAAGGAACAAGATCCACACAATTGAAGGACTCAGGGAGTTGACACGTCTGCGCGTGCTTGACCTAAGTTACAACAGAATCTCTCGAATTGGACAAGGTATGTGGCTTCCTTTGACCTTCCACCAAAGATAAACTGTATTGTCTAGTGACTCACAAATATCCGAGTTTTACGTCCTTAAACAACCTCCTGAATATGTGAATTTGTCTTCAAATTGCATCAGGTTTGTCGAATTGTACTCTCATCAAAGAGCTCTACCTCGCTGGTAACAAAATAAGTGATATTGAAGGGCTGCACAGACTTCTGAAATTGACTGTTCTAGACTTGAGCTTCAACAAGATAACTACTACTAAAGCGCTTGGTCAGCTTGTGGCAAACTACAACTCTCTTCTGGCTCTAAATCTATTGGGAAATCCAATTCAGATCAATATAAGTGATGACCAGCTGCGAAAGGCAGCTTGCAGCCTGCTCCCAAAACTAGCCTACTTGAACAAACAGCCAATTAATTCCCAAAAGGCACGGGATGTAGGAACAGAAGCAGTTGCAAAAGCAGCACTGGGCAGTAGCACTCGGGGCACTCATAGAAGAGCAACCAGGAAGGTAACCACCGGAGCTTCTTCATCTGCAAGCGTGCATAGGAGCAGCACGAGTGTTTCTCAAAAGAGCAGGCATAGGCTAAGAAGCCGAACTCAACTTCAGTCTTCCAAGGCCAAGTGATCTATCTGCTCTAGTATCTCCTTGTTCCAAAATGCTTCATGCTTTTGGACAGTGTAATCCGAGAAAGCATGTTTTTTCAGTGTGTTTCGATTTTGTTTATCTGTTTTTAATTTGTTCATCAAAAGAGAGGAGTGATTTAGACATTCATGTTAAAAGTTGTGGAGGTTCTTCCTCATTCTGCATTTCATTCTGAAAAGTCTGTTTGAAAGCAAGGTAGTTATGGCTTTGTATGATTGTTCAATTTGGCATGTTTTCCAACATTGATTTGCACCTTTATAAATGAACTCCTATTCTGCTTCTGATTGATATTGAATTTTGTATTAGATCTTTTTAGTTTTCTATGAAGTAATACAACTATCAATAACCTGCTTTTTTCACTCATTCGCAAGTAAAGTACACTTCTGAGGAGTATCTTGCTGACAGATTGTGTAATATCTATGTTAGAAATGCATATCATAGACATAAGCTGTCCAAAGCAAATTGTGGTGTTTTGCTCCTTAAAGGATTGGTTGTAATTGGAAAGGCAATGGAAATGTGAAGTTAAATTTTTTGACTAATCCATTCCAATTTCTTTTTTCAGTTTAACCATGTCATTACTCGAATTTCTTGCATTCTTAGAGATCAAGTAAAGACTGTTTTCCTTGTTTCATACCTAGAGTTTAAACTTGAGACGCTCATTCATCCCCATCACATTTCTTGTAGTTAGTCATCCAATTTATCAAAGGTGAAATGACCGAAAAATCTTCAGTACAATTTAGGATAACAATAACATTAACATCCAATCTATAACAGTATAACATTCTTTTTTCTGTAGAATAACAAACAAGGTCCAAGGATGAATCTAACAATTTAGGAGGCCGCACCATCAGGTGGCCCCTGACCACAAGGTCAACAACCGTGGAGGACCCCACAAGGTCGCTATAACATTCTTTTTTGACACGATAACAAGGTCCAACGACGATGAGGCTTAGATGGCCCCTGACCACTTCTTATAGAGGGTGACTTTTCTCCCATTAAGTAAGCTGACCAGGAGATAGAAAACACTATATACCAAACAGTAGTAAATTTGAGGTTTAGCAGCTGAAGTTCAATACATTCATTTACTTTATAATAAAAAAAGGGGAAAAAAAAATATGTAAAAGGAGAGAAGAATCTTTGACTTAAAGAGGAGAGACAATCCAAAATATGCATTGTAAAAGGCGTAAATTACGTCAAAATCTCAAGGGTCGATATTTTATTTAATTTAGAGCCACAGAAGCATGATTCTTGGAGTCATTAAATTTCCAACTTTTTGTGGACTGTTTATTTCAACTATAACCACTAAAAAGAAGACGTATTAGATTGGAAAGTATAACAACTTTTTGACAAAATTGACCACTCATTAATAGTGCGGAAAGCATCAACAAACTAATAAATCATATGTTTTAAACTTTAAAGATGTGTTTTGTTTAAGACCACACCTTCTGTTTTTAGAATATTTAAGAGCGCTAAGCAGCTCACAGTGTTAATTCTGTCTATTTGGGCTATCCTTTTCCATTGAAAGAACGAATTGAACAAGTAATACCCACTAATTTTGACAGGTAAATAACCAGAAATCTTTCTTTAATACATATCGGCTATCGCCATTTCCTTGTGCTGGACCAATTGATTTTGTAGTCCTTTACAAATCCGTATTTAATTTTACACATAAGAAATCTGAAAGTAACACACGATATCTGGAAAAAAATCACGTCTTTCCTATTCAAATTGGCATGGAAGACTGTTTCCTCAAGCCTATGCTCTGGCTTCATAGCAATAACAAGGGCACTGAATTCCAGAGAAAAAGTTGGTTGTCACTGAAGTATATTTTTGTAAAAAAAGTGAAATTATTACCTTAGCAGCTAGTATGTTGTTTGGACTCTACGCAAATGTTGCTATCGGATCTCCAAGAATCTAATAGTTTTAGAGGATTTGACACGAACCCATCTACATTTTTGAAAAGCCTGAGTAGCATAGGTTAGATGTGTTGATAATTTATGAAAAGGGATATGATAAATTGATTGAACCACCATAATACTAAGACAAAGGAGGTCAATCCTAGGCTTGTCATCAAAGGTTAGGTAGGCCTAATAAAGGACAGTTTTATTTTCCTTGATGCATGTCTCTTCAAATAATGGTAGTGTCAAAACTAACTTGTGCACAAGTTCAATGTATGCATGTCTTCACAAAATATGCATATCATACCAGCTCAGAGCACCAGCATGTCAATGAAGATATTGCAATTGAATGACAATACAAGATAAACTGTGGAAGTTGGGCTATGCAAGGTTGTAACTTTCATGCAGATAGAGAGAACTAAAAAGAGATTTTACTCATAGAGTCATGGTTAAACTAAGGCTTAATACATAGCTAGCCCCTTAAGTAGAATACTGGATATTATCTTATAAAATCAAATGCAATGGTTGGCAACAAAGAATTTCTTCTTCTGATAAGTAAGATTTTACATTGTGAATGCAATAGTGCTCTACATTTTGTAGATGATAGAGTACAGGCATGATTACAATTTACAGCTGAAACAATAGGCAGCAGGAAAATGCTAAACAAGAGTTTGAAACAACTCTAGATACCTCAAGATTTATGTTGCTTTGATATATAATATAGGTGGATGAGGTCCACCATAATTCTTCTTTTGCATTCTTCGTGTAAATTCTGCTCTATGAAACTCCGGCATCACCATAAGTTACACTAGAAGTAAAAGCTACTTCAACCTTTTATGCCTCATAGACATCACTGCTTGGCTTCATTACTTTCATGTCTGCGTATCTATAATTGAACAGCACCTGCGGATCCTTATTTAGCAAAACCCCGCCTTCTCCATACACATCCTCCATGTAAATTCTGCTCTATGATGCTCCATCATCACCATAAGTTACACTAGACATCAAAAGCTAATTCAACCTTTCATGTTTCATAGACATCACTGCTTGGCTTCAATACTTTCATGTCTGCATATTTATAAAGTTTCTCATTGAACAGCACCTGTGGATCCTTATTTAGCAAAACCCCATCTTCCCCATAAGCATCCTTAAGAAACACAGACCAATTCATTTCGGTACCAGCCAAGTAAAACGTCCGAGGCTGTTTCAAGAGCATCTGATAAGTATGCTTCGTAAGACAAAACTCCTCCTTGAACTCCACAATGTTGTGTATATAAGCTCTCTTCTCCAATGTCAAGCTCAAGAACTCATGAATCAATCCCACCCTAAACTTCTCCGCCTCCACTGTCCACAAATCCAGCTTACTCCCATCAGAATAAGGCGAAACCAATGGCAATGTATACAACAAATTCAACTTCCTCTCATCACCTTCATCCAAATCCAATGCCTTCCCATGTTTTATTGGAAACTTAAACGCCTTCTTCACCTTATCCTCATCAACCATATACTCCTTCTCCAACGCGCTCACCGCCAATGTAGGATCCCATTTCAGAAGCTCAATTACCCTTTTCCCATCTTCCTCAACAACCACCTTAAAATAATCCTCATACTTCCTTATCCTATCCCTAAAATCTTCAGGTATACCAAATAAAAGCCTATTATGATAAATTTTACTCAAAGCAATCCTCTTATCTTTCGACATCATTAACAATTTCCTAACAACACTAACTCTATCACTTTCCATTTCATTCATTACTTTACCCTCCTCATCCAACAATTTTTCCATGAAATCAGTAAAACCAATCCACATCTTACCATCATTATGCCGATAAATTTCGAAGATTGAAGGGTGTCGTTGGAGGGATCGAACAACCTTTCTTCCACGTGGGAACCCCAGCTGCTGGTGGAGTTTTCCGGCATCGTCAAGGGGAAGTACATGATGGGGTTGTTTGGAGAGGAATTCTTTGGTTTTAGTGAGAAATCTGAAATGGGTATCACCAAAAAGAATGTTTTCGAAATGGGGATTGATGTTTGGTTGAGTTTGAACCAATTTGGTACGTGGGGATTCCTTTTTCTTTCGTTTCTTGCGGAATTTCTTTGGGATTTTGGTGACGAGGAAGGAGGTGGAAAATTGTCTGAAGTGGGAAGTGAATTGAGAGAAAGTTGAGTTAGGGTTTAAGGAGAAATGTGAAGTTTTTGAATTGGAAGAAATAGAGATGGATTTGGTACAAAAGAGACGCCAAATTGTCATTTGAGTATTGTTAGTTTCTGGTTTTTCAATGGTGGAATTAGGGTTTAAGAATGAAGAAGAAAGAGATAAAAAAAAAATTGAAGAAGAAAGAGATGAGTTTTAAAAAATAATAATCCGACCTGCCGGATTCGAACCAGCGACCTTAGGATTGCTATGAACACACTACAGTCCTCCGCTCTACCAACTGAGCTAAGGTCGGTTGTTGTTTTAGAGTGGAGGCATCACTAACTTGGGTAAAATATTTTGACTCACGCAATTAATATTGGTTACCAAAACTTTATTTTCAAGTGTTCTAATGAAATTTTTTTAGTATTGAATTGCGAAATCTGCAGTACTACAACCAATCTATAAAGATGATCCTTTTGGTGATCGAACAAGTTTAATAATAGTTTCTCACTTACTTGTTATGTTAATTTTGAACATTGTGAATCATGAGAAAGTCAATTATCCGTAAAGATGACTTTATATCATCATTCATATCTGAGTAATTGAAATTCTGCATATCTACCGTTAAAAATGCAACTTAAGGTTGTATCCCATTACTAAGACAATTTCCGGTTAATGATAGAAAAAACATTTGTATATAGTTTAGAACAAGTACTATGACTCTATGAGGTGTTGGAAGATGAAAAAGACAATTGGTGTAGAGCGTTTTTTGTTTTTCTAGTCATTTTCTTCATTTTTAAGGAACTTGTTTTTGTCGAGGAGAATATTTTCCGTAAAATATCACCAACAAAATATGAGAAAATGAACTGGAATCACTTGCCAGAGTATCAAGGATGAACTATCAAAAAAGGAAAAATGTGGAGGTAAAGGAGTCAAAAACAATTGAGATATGCTACAGCAGCTAGGATTGCCCTTATTCTATAATACCTTCACAATTTCAATCAACATATGGTTTTTGCTTGTATAGTTATAATAAAATGAGACATCACAAGGAAAAAACTATAGCCCTAAAACAATTCCCATTTGCACTGTGCCTCAAATGTGTAATTACATGGCCCTACGTACACCTTACGGCTACATAGGAGTTGTGGTTTTGGTCCCTTTGCAGAACCATTCTGTTGTCTTCTCTTCTTGTGCTCTCTTGCTTTTCTGACTGTCCAAAAAATTTCGTTACCGCCCTTTCTGTGTGAAATTTTTGCTGTTTAATAATATGATCCAACAAACAAATGACTATTATCATCTACAATCTTGAGATCCTTGCCAATTTTTAGCTAGCTTGTCTTCTTGAAAATGGTTTCTGGCAAATTAGTAGCTTCTCATCACTGCTTTCTACCTCTATAACTCTCGCGTCCCATTTCAACCGTGCTGCATGAGATCTTGCTAATTCAATAAGAGGGACAGTGTCGCGTAAAATCACCCAGCCCTGCAGCATGCAAATAGTGGTTAGCAGACAGAGAAAAAACCAGTCAAGAGTATGTTGATGTTGCTCAGCATTCAGGTACATTAAAAACAGCTGAAAGTGGGTGAACGTGTTTTGGCATACAAGATCAAAGGGTAAATGGCATGTTCAGGTAGAAATTATAGATATGCCATAAGTACGCATAGTATTCAGGTCGCAAAGAGCGAATACCATAATAACCTGTACGGCCTCATTCAAAGTTGCAATACAGTGCTTATGAGTGGGAGGAAGAAAAGGATGCTTATAACAAAAGACGAGAGGGAAAAGGGAGGAATAACTAGTGATAGGAAAGGATAAACTAAGAAAAAGAGCTGCTATTGGAGGGGGCATTATATGCTGCATCATCACACCACTATGTTCTGTACTCTTATGGAGCCCACTTCAATGCCTCTCTAGCTAAGAAAAAGACTTCCAGTGTAGCCACTTATGCGAGTGGAAAACAGGAGCTGAATCATACAACTCCTTTTGCAACCCAAATCCCACTAAGACTTTAAAGACCTCCCTCTGATTCCGAGAACCACATTTCGGTTGCTTGTAAAAAAGAAGTGGATGAATCATATGATAGAGTTATCTTAATTCTAGTCTTATTGCACCATTATATACATTAGAGCTTGACAAGTCACTACTTGTTGACTATCAAGAACTCCATCTAAGTGATGCATAATTACAAAATAAGAACTAGCAAAGTGTAGCAACAAATATACATACCTCCGGACGAAGAACACGATCCATCTCAATAAACAGGTCAAACATCAGACATCTGCTATGTTGGCCAAATTCCATTGACAGAAGTCCATTAGCATGTACCAGATCGTAAGTTCTTGGATATGTTGGAAATGCCTCACACCTGCAAAGGAAATAGAAAGCAAAATTAGTCACAGAATCCACCCAAAAGATATTAAATAAACAAATAAAACGAAGTTGTTTTTGATAAAGTTTATGAATCAAGATGAACTGCTTTTATGTGACTTGCAATCGACCTTGTTTCTTTAAGTCAACATTTTCATTACTGAAAACAAGTCGATGTTGAAAGCATTTAGAAGTTGGTCTAAGTGTGTTAACACGAGTCATCTACAAGCATGTATGATTCCTGCCAACTATCTATACAATACAGTATTCCCTTAACACCAGAAATACAATTGATCAAGCACAAACCAGTACCTACAAGTTCTTTCGAGTGGATAAAATGAAAGTCCCAGAAAGTCAATAGAAGTGCAAGAGTTTAGACTGGCAAACATGTTACTCAGTCATCAGTACTTTGCTCCTTATTTATGATATACATGCTCCCTCTTCATCTCAATCACAAAAAATGAGTTACTAGTGAGCATAAACTTCTCCAGCTTGTAAGTGTTTAAATCCAAAGCTAAAAATTATTTTCATGTAAATAGGGGCAAAGAAACTCTGCGGAAAGATGCTGTCTTGGAGAAGGAAATTTAGTCACTGAACCTAGTTACAACTTACAACCATATAGATCGTGGAACCAACGAGTAGTCATGGATCTAGAACACAATATATGGGTTCACGGAAACACAATAGCTTTTGCACAAAACCATGGATATATATTAAGAAATCCATTAAATATTTATAAATATTTGACTGTGAACTCAATTATACTGTATATTAATTTGAGATCATTATAAGAACCCACAAACTTCAAATTTTGGATCCACATCTGCCAACGGGTTGTGAAAAGTGATAAGTGTTGTTCAACCAAATAATATGAATTGTGAGGTATGGCAATTATTAGGAAACATAAAGAGTTAGGGCGATCAGAAGCTATCATCCAAATTCAATTTACAGACAGATTTATGCATCTAGAGTTCTTTATCATGTAACTAGAAAATGTTGCATGTATTAAGACTAGATATTTATCCAGTGGATTCCTTCACTAGAGAAAGAGAAGAGAAATTACCAATCATGCAAAACACCAACGAATCCCCTGTCGATAATTAGGGGAAGATAGTTAGACCCACTAGTGGGAATAACATTCATGACCCACACTGACTTTCTAGCATCCAGCAGAGCAGCATTCAAACCACCAAAATGGGCATTCATGTCTAGCACATTTCTAAGCATATTATAGGGAGGAGAAGGATCATCATCACCAGGTCGCTTCGGGTGATCGGAAAATATTAAAGGTGAAAGAAGTGACCAATAATTGTTAACTGCTGAATTCCAGTTAAGGGAATCCTCAGCAAGAGCTTCAGATAACAAACCTAATAAAACACAGAGCACTATCAATAGATGTTCAGAGGAAACTAAATAACATCATGTAACAAAGTGTTCCACATTTATAACTTTTGAAAATGAGGATACCCCATTACCATGAATCTTAAGTTCGCTGGAGTTTAATTTGGCCCTAGAAGGCCACTTTGTCCTTTCTTCAATAGGAATCCACCGGCGGCTTTGGGTTCCAGCAATGCATGCTTGTAGAGGTCGATAATATGGGGATTCAATGTCCTGTCCTTTACTGCAGATAGAAGGCCCAACACCTGGTCTCCTGTAAACAGAGGCAACTCTTTATAGTCCCACAATCATTGCTTACATGCCACTTGATCAAAGATATGACCTATTGAGGGTTGGGAAATAAAAATTGAAATGAAGATATGTGGACATGGTCTGCACACCTTGCAAAATAGCATTTCTTTAAACTTGTCTTTTTCCATACAACAGTTTCATCTTGTTGTGGTAACAGCTCCCAGCACATACTTTCAGCAAAATTCCGGACAAAGTTCCATTTTTTCAGGTTCACTTTGTTGCGGACGGAGCGCTGAGTATTCGTAACAGTTGAAGTCCAGACAAAATATCCACCAGGCCTTAACAATCGATCAACTTCAACAAGAAAAATACCATCTGCACCACAATTCAGTTATTATTAAGGCCTTAATAAATGATAGTATACAAGATTTAACTTGTACATTAGTAATACGAAGCAGAATTACAATAATGGTGAACTTACGGAAAACATCCCAATAGGAAGAACTAGTTATTAGCCGATCCTAATAGGAAAGAAGTGTTGCACCCAAGGGCCAAGGGTATGAACCGGTGGTCAATGAAGTGGGAGGAGAACCATGAACTCTTGGGTTCAAATTAAAGCAGAGGGCAAAAAAAAAACACTAGGTGATTTCAATTCTTACCATCAAGTAATAGTTATTAGCAGTTCCAAAGAGGGAAGAGAAGTGTTGCACCCAAGGGCCAAGGGTATGAACTGGTGGTCAATGAAGTGGGAGAAGAACCATGAGGTCGTGGGTTCAAATCAAAGCGGAGGCAAAAAAATACACTAGGTGATTTCATTTCTTACCATCGATCTAAGCCTTGGTTGGCAGACTTAGCTGATACCTGTGCTGGGAGGTCACAGGTATACAGTACAACAATAGAGGTGTGGCAAGTTGACCAGGACATCGGTCATAAAAAAGAAACAACCATTTAAAGGAAGCACCAACTTTCCTCCCCTTAGATTTGTTAGTCTTCAGTGAATAGTGATGTAACATTTGAAAGAACCTGTATAAACTCAGTTCTTCCCGAACTTTTGTTACAAATGGAAGTATGAGAACATACTGGACATCAAGATTACTTGCTATATGCTGATGTCTATGAACTTATGTCAGATACCTTTTCTTCAGGATACAAGCAGCGAAACCAAGGGAATGGCCTTGGAACTGCATCACAACTGATTTAAATAATTCAAGTATAGGAGCACAGTCATGTTGAGAAAAAAGACTACTTGTCAAGTTTTCACTTGTTCCAATTAAAATCCCCTGATGCAAT